CCACGTCGGGACAATGATCACGCCACGAGAGAGAAATCCACGCGGCCCCTTCCCCCCCACCCACGTGGACCGAGCAACGTGGATTCCCTTGGTAGGGTTGCTATTGCGCGCACTGGACACCAGAGGTCGCTGCGCTCCAGCTTCCCCCCCCCCCATCTCCGGATTCATTCGTCTTGTTTTAAAAAAAAGAAATTCTCATATTTTTTTTTGCAAGCTTATAGCCGTAAGTCGAGGATTCCCTGCCTTTCGGGTTTTGAAACTGAAATTGGAAAGAGCTTGCATTGAAGATATTTTTTTTTTCATTTGAATAGGTCTTTTTCCTGGCTTTGGCTCTTGCAAAAAAAATTAGGAAAACAAGGAAGGAAGGAAGGAAGGAAGGAAGAAGGGACGGAGGGAGGGAAGGAAGGAAAGAGGGAAGAAAGAAAAAAGAAGGAACGAAGGAAGAAAAAATAAGAGAGGAAAGGAAGGAAAGATGGAGGGAGGAAAGGAATGAAGGCAAGAAAGAGAGAGGGAAGGAGGAAAGAAGGAAGGAGAGGGAAAGGAGAGGGAAGAAGGAAAGAAGGAAAGAAAGAGAGGGAGAGAGAGGGAGGGAGGAAAGAAGGAAGGAGAGGGAAAGGAGAGGGAAGAAGGAAAGTAAAGAGAGAGGGAGGGAGGAAAGGAAGGAAGAAAGAAAGAAAAACTGAGAGAGAGAGGAAGGGAAGGTAGGAAGGGAAGAAAGAAGGAAAGAGGGAGGGGAGGAAGGAGAGAGAAAGTAAACAAGCAAGCAAGCCTTTGATAAAGAAAGGCCCAGCTAGGTGGGACACGCAAGTCGTGGGAATGCAACAGGGGAAACTTGCGTTGCTAGAAGGCGGGTCCCCTTGCAGCCTTTTGCAAGCGGAGGGGCGGGCTGGCTTTTGCCCGGAGCCCCGCCTTGCAATGGGCCGTTCCTGCCTGGCTGCCTGGGCGCACGCGAGCTCCACTCCCCGGGGAAGGCGAGAGAGGCGTCGGGCGCGGGGCTGGCCGCTTTCTCTAAACGCCGTTGCGGGGCCTTTTGCAACCGGCTTCCTCCCCTTTCACCACCACCCCACTTCCACCTTCGGGCCGAGGTAAGCCGAATAACACCCCCCCCATCACCCCCCCCCCCCCGGGCGTGCAGGCTCTTTGCAAAGCGGGGACGGGGTCGTGGCGTTCCCACGACCCTGGGTGCAGCCTGGGGGGTTCCCCCAATCGCCCCGGGGTGGGCGGCTTTCCCATCCCGGGGGAAGGGCAGGAACGGGTGGAAACTGTGTCTGGATATGAGGAGGGTCGTGGGAATGCACCCCTCCCCCGCATGCTTTTGCAGATAGGAGCGAGGGGGAAAGGAAGGGGGTCGTGGGAATGCGGCCCTCTGCCCCCTATCTTTGCAAACAAACCCTCCCTGCAGGATTGCCCAGGGAGGGGCAGGAAGCCAGCGGGCGCCCCTCCCGGCCTGCTATATTTTGAATTCCGTTTTTTCCCCTCTGAAATTGGGTGGGAGGGTGTGTGTGTGTGTGTGTGTGTGTGTATATATATATATAGAGAGAGAGAGAGAGACAGAGACAGAGAGAGAGAGAGAGAGAGGAAGGGGGGGGAGACCTTTGGGGAGGGGTGAGAAGAAGTGGGGAGGTGTCAGCATTCAAGACTTTTTGCCCTGGGAGGGAGAATAGCTTTTGTCACCCCTAACTTGGTTGCAGAAGTCTTATCTTCCTGCTTGGGGGGCGGGGGGGGGGGGGGGGGGGCGCCCTGGGAGATTTTCTTGGAGGAGTGGGGTACAGGAGTGATTGCAGCATTAAAAAAGAGACCCCCCCTCCTAAGGGTTGCCTTACTGTGTTGCATGGAAAAGAAAATACAAAAGTGGGGGAAAGAGATTCAAAGTAGCTTTATTTATTTATTTTAATTGATTCGATTTATCAAATGCTTACAAGATAATAGAAATAAGAATAAACAGGAGTGAGAATACAGGAAATAGGTTCGAATAAATAGGGTCAGTAGAACAGGGACCGTAGGCAGAATGGTGCACTTATGCACGCCTCTTACAGACCTCTTATGAATGGCTATTCTCTCCCTTTCTCTCCTCCCTCCATTCTTTTCTCTCCTTCCTTCCCCCTTCCTTCTTTCCTTCCTTTATTTTTTATTTTATTTATTTGATTTGTCAATTGCTTATAAGATAACAGGAATAAGTATAAACATGAGTGAGAATACAGGAAATAGGTTTGAATAAATGGGGACAGTAGAACAGGGACGGTGTAGGCACAATGGTGCACTTATACAGGCCCCTTACAGATCTCTTAGGAACGGGGTGAGGTCAATAGTGGATAGTTTAAGGTTAAAAGTTTTGGGGGTTTGAGGATGTAACAACAGAGTCAGGTAATGCATTCCAGGCAATGACCACTCAGTTGCTGAAGTCGTACTTTCTGCAATCCAGTTTGGAGCAGTTTACATTGAGTTTATATCTATTGTTGCGGTTGAAGCTGAAGTAGTCATTGACTGGTAGGACATTGTAGCAGATAATTTTATTTACTATGCTTAAGTCCAATCTTAGCCAGTGTAGTTCAGGTTGTCTAAACGTAGAATCTCAAGCCTGGTGCCAGATTCTGAAATAGTCTTGAGAATTTGACATACAACTCAAAAAACAATTCTTAATATCTCTCAGTCTTACACCCAATGTAAAAGACAACAAATAGTCATTTGAGAATGTAATGTACAACTGTAAAAACACATCTTAATATCTCACAATAGTCTTATTTTTGTACCAGTGTAAAACACTCTTGAATAGTCTTCGGTATCTTGAGAATTTCTTGCAAAATTCACCTTTTTTGTTATCCTAGCCTTCAGGTCTGTTGTTCCAGATGGATCTTTATCTTTATTGACCCAAGTTGCATGCTCCAATTCACGTACAGATACCCTGTTATTTAAGTCTGTGCTGTGTGTGAATTATACAGCTTCTTTCTATTGGCAGTGCTATTTAAATAAGTTGCAATAATTTGTTAGAGAGCAGGTTTGTTGGCTGCGCAAAACTACTTTTATCTGAAAGTGCTGCAGGCAAGGAGTTATTATTCTGACACATCAGAAAACACCCTTCAATGGGATAAGCTGAGCACCCTTCCCATTAAATTAAATTTTGAATTCAATTTCTTTTTACTGTAAGCAGTAAGCCCACTTGTGCCAGGGTGCCAGAAGAGAGGGTGAGTATATGAATTATGGGTTTGTTCTTAAATAAACCTGAATTAAATTGCCTATTTGAAAGCAAGGTCTTTAGAGAATGTAACTGGTGATCTGCGCAATTTTAAACTATGATTGGAAAAATGCCCCACTCCCTAACTGATTCTCAAGTTATTGACCCAAGTTGCATGCTTAAGGATTAGAGGATTAGAATTAATCCTAAATTTCACCTGGAAAAAATACAATCCAATGTGCTGGAAAACATTTGTCAGAATTTTTTTTGTATAGTTGATCTTAAAAACATGCAATATTGGTTATATTTGGTCATGCCCAGTTCTGGAAAAGTAGAGTGTAAATTAAGAAGTTCCCCTCCACTTTCCAAGCTTGTGGGGACTTGAAGATACAGGGACTTCGACTCCCATAATTCTCTAGTCAGCATTGCAGGGGATTCTGGGAAGTGGTCTGTAAATCTGGGGGAAAAAAGACCCAGTTGGGAAATGCAAATTTAAATCATAGATCACCATGTCTTAACCTTAGGTTGAAGATGGGTGGGTATTTAATCCCCACGATTTCTCAGCTAGCTGTGCTTGCTGGGGAATTCTGGGAGTTGAAGTCCAGCCATTTAATAAATAATCAGAGTTGGAAGGGACCTTGTAGGTCATCTAGTCCAACCCCCTACCCAAGCGGGAGACACTACACCATATCTGAGAGATGGGAGTCCAATCTCTTCTTGAAGGTCTCAAGTGATGGCGCTCCCACAACTTCCAAAGGCAACTTCTGTTCCATTAGTTGATTGTTCTCACTGTCAGAAAATTCCTCCTTATTTCCAGGTTGAATCTCTCCTTGTTCAGTTTCCATCCATTATTCCTTGTCCAGCCTTCAGGTGCCTTGGAAAATAGCTTGACCCCTTTTTCCTCTCTGTGGCAGCCCCTCAAATATTGGAGGACTGTTCTCCTGTCTCCCCTGGTCCTTCTCTTCACTAGACTAGCCAGGCCCAGTTTCTGCAACCATTCTTCATATGTTTTAGCCTCCAGTCCCCTAATTATCCTGGTTGCTTTCCTCTGTACTTTCTCTAGAGTCTCAACATCTTTTTTTTATAATGTGACCAAAACTGGATGCAGTACTCTAGGTGTGGCCTTACTAAGGCTTTATAGAATGGTATTAGTACCTCATTTGATCTCTATTGCATCCCTCTATTACTGCAATTTAGGATTGCATTAGCCATCTTCAAGCAGCCAAGGTTGGAAAATAATGTGTTAAAATGAAAGGTTCTTAAGAAGCAAAAATGGTGATTTCATATCAGGATGCACTCGATCAGCAGATCTGCCTTTGCATCAGCTCATGTGTTTCTTGGATTTCAGCGTGTGGGGAGGGCTTGGGGAGGGGTGGAGCGAAGTCAGCAGTGTGCAGCCAGCCACATGTGTTGCTCCGGGTACAAACTGTTATGTAAACCACCCTCTTGGCTACACCAGGAGCCAGCGTGTGCATGTGTGGCAATTCGTCTCTAGTGTAGCAAAAATAGCACTCGGCTCGGCTGTGTTAACGTTTCCTACGGTTTATAGCTTCACAAGGCTTGGAGGAAAGAGAGAGAGAGAAAGGAAAGAGAGAGAAAAGGAGGGAGGAAGAGAAAAAAAGGAAGAGAAGGAAGAGAGGAAGGAAGGAAGAGAAGAAGGAAGGAAGGAAATGATATTGTTTTCTTTTAGCTTGCGAATGTGCTGGAAAACATTTGTCAGAATTTTGTTGCATAAATTCTTTGGATATGGAAGATTTTATGTTGAAGATAGTTTGTTTCTAACGTAGGGTTTGGAGTACAGTAATTTTCCTTCCTTCCTTCCTTCCTTCCTTCCTTCCTTCCTTCCTTCCTTCCTTCCTTCCTTCCTTCCTTCCTTCCTTCCTCCTTTTTTCCTTCCTTTCTATTTATATAGGGCCTCTAAAATCACATTGCAGCACCATCCAGCGCAATGAACATTTTTAAAAATGAGAGAAAGGGAAGCTCTGGTAAAAAGGGCTGAATAATCGATTGCTAATTTCAGGGCAGAATGGACATATTTGTTTGGCTCAAGCTGGTGTTGGAGGCAGGATAAAGCTATGAGGCTGTTAAAAGTGCCCCTTTGCATCAGACAGGAAGAACGAAGGAGGTCAGATTCTTGGATTCACACCTTTAGTAAATAGACAAAGTGTATTTGTCCTTATTCCCTCTGTGATTAAGGGACGACGGTCTGATCTTTGGGTGAACCCTGGCATCAGTTTCTATAGATAGTCCTTTTGGAGTGAAGGATAAGTGATAGTTGTGATTCTATCTATCTATCTATCTATCTGTCAAAGCAAAATATCACTCACGCATCGTCACAAAATCTCCAGAACCCAAAGCCTACAAACTTGAAATTGGGCACGTCTGTTCCTCTTGGCTTCTAGGTGCTCACTAAGAAAGGATTTTTCGAAATGACCATCAGAGCATTAATATTTCCTATATTATTATTAACACGCTCTGATGCTAAGGAGTTCTACTTCACCTCCCCACCCGAAAAGAAATCTGTTCCAAATGCAAAACACAAGCAGAGGAGTTTTAGTTTCAATTTCACAGCACCAAACAGCTTTAGTCCAGAACAGTTGAGCTAAGCCAGGTCCAGGCTCCTTGCTCACACAACCAATACTGTTTCACTTTCCAAACAGCCCTCAACTCTCTCATACACTGACAGGACGCTAGCCAGATGAATACTGACAGATGTTGGTAGGCAGAGGCAGAATTTCTCCCCCTTATTTTCCTCCCCCCAAAACTAAGCCCGACCACATCGTTTCGTAGCAAAGAACGGGTATCCAGCTAGTATGTATGTATGTGTGTACACAAATATATACACACAGACACAGACACAGACACAGACACACAGACACACACACACACACACACATATATATATACATATACATGTATATATACACACACAGAGAGACATACATATATATATATACACACACAGACATACATTCAATGTAATTTTAAGTTCCGGAGATCGCAGGATATGTTTCTTTTACACACACACACACACACACACACACACACACACACACACCAAGGAAATGCACAATGCTAGGAAATACGCAGAAGGAAAAGTAGACCACCGAGCGATCCCCTTGTCTGGAAACAACCCCATGATTGTTTCTGAACCGGCTTCTCTTTTGCAAGGAATGTTCCTCTCTCGCAAAGGAGCACTTCTCTCCCAACAGATAAAAGGGATTTAAAAAAACAACGACAACATAGAAAAGGATTTCTCTGCTCAACCCCGTGCCTGTGGCCAACGGATTTATTAAGAGCTCTTTGTTTTAGTCTCTTGGCACCGGGAAGGGAAGCTGCAGCCTCCTCGCCTGATTGGCTGCTAGGGATCTTCGTTGGCAGAGAACCAGTCGTTGCTTTGAAAAATCTGCCCACTTGGCACCAGCGCATGGATCTCCTTCAAGAAAGGAACAGCATGTTCCTCCCCACAGTAGCCACATCTGCCTCCCTGCCCAACGTTTGCTGCCCCCAGAGATAAGACTGGAAAAGCAGAGTACAGGTAGTTCTCGGCTTACAACAGTTCATTTAGTGACTGTTGCAACGGCACTGAAAAAAAAAGAGACAATCATTTTTCACGCTTACGACCGTTGCAGCGTCCGCATGGTCACGGTATTTACGTTCGGATGCTTGTCCCAAAGGTGCTTTTTCAACAGACTTTCTGTGATGGCCCAGGGTGGGATACAAACCAAACACAATCACAGATAACAGGTGAAGCCCCTTTTATTCCTTCACTTTGCTTCCAAGCTCTGAATATCTTTGATGGAAGACAAAAAAAAAAAAAAACCTCCCACACAGTTACACAAAGAAGGAATAAAGCAACACAAACCAGGCAAGATAAGGGCTGGAGGACGTCCACAGATAACAGAACATGCACTGGGAAGGACGCCAAACTCAGAGAGGAACTATAAACTAGAGATATTTACATGCTTTGTTTCCAGCGTTCGCCAGTACGCAGGTCAGTACTCTTATTCAGTTGTAACAGCTGCAGCCCATGAAGAGGATCAAGGCCCTTTCCTCCTGAGCAGACCAGTCTGTTCCTTATCCTTTCCTCCCCACGTGCCCTAGGATGGAGAGGGGATGGGCCTGGGTCCTCCTCTGCTCAGCTGGCCTCTGCCCTTCCCCAGCCTCCTCCACAACCTCCAGAGCCATACTTCCATTCCCTGTCGGCTGTTCCTCCTCTCCCTTAGATCGGTCTCTACCAGGGGCATGACACTTTCTGTTGTTTTTCTTTGAAGATGTTTCACTTCTCATCCAAGAAGCTTCCTGGGTTCTGACTGAGGAATGGAAGTCGAAGCTGAAGAAGCTTCTCGGGTAAGAAGCAAAAGGTCTTCAAAAGAAAAGCCAGAAAGTCCAGATGCCAAGTGGTTCATATTTATGATGGTTGCAAGTGATGATGTGATGACCCTTTGCGACGTCCTGGACAAGCAAAGTCCATGGGGGAAGCCAGATTCATTTAACAAACCGGGTTGCTCATTTAACAACCACAGTGATTCACTTAATGAATGTGGCAAGAAAAAAAATCGTGAAATGGAGCCAAACGCTCTTAACAAATTTCTCGTTTAGCAACATAAATTCCAGGCTCAGTTGTGGTCGTATGTCGAGGACTACCAGTAGAGTAACAGAATAATAGAGTGGAAAGGGACCTTGGAGGTCTTCTAGTCCAACCACCCAGCTCAAGCAGGAGGCCCTATACCAGTGATTGTGAACCTTTCTGGCAGAGTGCCCAAAACGGAATGTGGGTGCATGTGTGCATGCCAGAATGTTGGAAACCCAAAGATTAGCTAGCCATGGCAAGCCTGTTTTTTGCTGTTTTCAGCCATTTTGGGACCGTTTTCAGGGTGTTTTCAGCCATTTTGGGGCCGTTTTCAGGGTGTTTTCAGCCATTTTGTGGCCGTTTTTAGGCTGTTTTCAGCCATTTTGGGGCTGTTTTCAGGCTGTTTTCAGCCATTTTGGGGCCGTTTTCAGGCAGTCCGGCGCCCACGAAGACTAGCTGGTCAGTGCACATGCCCACAGAGATGGTTCTGTAAGCCAGAAACCAGAAGAGCACCTGGCAACGACACGCATGCCCACAGAGAAGGCTCTGTGTGCCACACATGCCAGAGGTTCGCCATCACAGCCCTATGCCGTTTCAGACAAATGGCTGCTCAATCTCTTCTTAAAAGCCTTCAGTGATGAAGCGCCTACAACTTCTGAAGGCAAATTGTTCCACTGGTTAAGTGTCCTCCCTGTCAAATTTCTCCTTAATTCCAGATTGCTTTTCTCCTTGAGTAGTTTACATCCATTACTTCTTGCTTCAGATGCTTTGGGAGAATAGCTCGACTCCCTCTTCTTTGGGGCAGCCCTTCAAATATCATGTCCCTCCTAGTCCTTCTCTTTGTTGGATTTTGATTGCATCTGGTTTATCCAACGTGCCGAGACCGGCTGGTTTAGTAGATCCTGTTGGTATTTTACTTCTCTTGCAGTTGTGCATGACACCGAGGTGGAGATGGCAAGTCCAGACTTGCACCACGATGCTCACGGCGGTTTTAGAGTCATAATGTAGCTTTCCGCGTGGGCCCAAGGGTTATTATGCCTCTTGCACAGCAGAGGCCAAAGTTGGGTTATCTCAAAAGCACTGAATGTGCAATTCAGGGATAGAAATTTTGCAGATTCCAATAAAGCGATTGGCATATTGAGTGGACCATCAATGCAAGGGGCACTTGTTGATCAGAAGGTCACAAAAAGTGATCACAATACCCGGGGACACTGCAAGGGTCATAAAGAGGAGTGAGTTGCCAAGTGTCTCAATTTTGATCATATGATAGTGGGGATGCTACAACGGTCATAATAGCAATAGTGCTTAAGATTAATATACCGCTTAATATACAGTGCTTTCCAGCTCTCTCTAAGCATTTTACGGAGTCAGCCTTTCGTTCCCAACAATCTAGGTCCTCATTTTACCCACCTTGGAAGGATGGAAGGCTGAGTCTACTTTGATCGAACTCCTGGCAGTGGTCAGAGTTAACCTGAAACCCTGCACTGTAACAAATGCACCACTAGGGCTTGCTTGTTTGCTTGCTTGCTTGCTCCTTCCTTCCTTCCTTCCTTCCTTCCTTCCTTCCTTCCTTCCCTTTTTCCTTCTTCCTTCCTTCTTTTTCTTCCTTCTCAAGCAATAGCAGATTTATATACTGCTTCATGGTGCTTTAGAGCCCTCTCTAAGCAGTTAACAGAGTCAGCCTCTTGCCCCTCAACAATCTGGGTCCTCATTTTACCCACAAAAGGATCGAAGGCTGAGTCAGCCTTGAGTTGGTCAGGATCGAACTCCCGGCAGTGGACAGAGTTAGCCTGCAACATTGCATTGTAACAAGAGCATCACTATTCCTTCCTTCCTTCCTTCCTTCCTTCCTTCCTTCCTCCCTCCCTCCCTCCCTCCCTCCCTCCCTTCCTTTCCAAGCAATAGCGGACTTATATACTGCATTATAGTGCTTTCCAGCCCCCTCTAAGCAGTTTACAGAATCAGCCTCTTGCCCCCAACAGTCTGGATCCTCATTTTACCCACCTTGGGAGGACAGAAGGCTGAGTCAACCTTGAGCTGGTCGGTATCGAACTCCTGGCAGTGGGCAGAGTCAGCCTGCAATACTGCATTCTAACTAGTGCGCCACCATGGCTCCTTGTGAAGTTTAGTATGAAGTCGCTTTTTTCGATGCCGTTGTAACTTCAAACTAAGCGAATGGTTGTAAAACCACCTGTAATCCAGACATTAACTGAATTAGCTCATGAATCCAAACTAGCATAGTCTTTTGTTTTGCATTTGGCTTGTTTTAGAGCCCTGTGGAATGCTTGATCCATCTCTCAGCATTGTTAGAACTGACGGCTCTCCTTTCTCGTACTAAATCATGGTTTATAACTTTGTCCTGCAAACCCAAGCCAGTTCTGGTTTCTGCCCCCACAATCCTGATCATTCATTTTTCTCTCTCTTCGATTTCCTTCCCTAGTTCCTCCAGCCTGTAATACTGGCTCCCCCAGCAGCCCACCGAGGGAGGTCCGTATTCTCCCAATATGGCGGACGAAGACCTGATATTCCACATGGAGTACCTGGACAACGCCTCGTTAACCAAACCAGGTTGTGGGAATTGCCACGAGGCGGACAGCGACGAGGAGGAGAATTACTACATCTGCCCGATTACAGATGACCCTGTTTTGAACAAGGCAGCCAAGGACAAAGTTCATAACTATTACAGCAACCTGGTTAAAAATGAGAGTTATTCCACCAGCTCTTCTCCCAGAAATTCCTTCCATGTTAGGGTAAGTTTTAGCCTCTTTCTAATTGTTTTTTCTTTCATCCTTCCTTCCTTCCTTCCTTCCTTCCTTCCTTCCTTCCTTCCTTCCTTCCTTCCTTCCTTCCTTCCTTCCTTCCTTCCTTCTCTCCCTCCCTCCCTCTCTTCTTTCTTTCTTTCTTTCTTTCTTTCTTTCTTTCTTTCTTTCTTTCTTTCTTTCTTTCTTTCTTTCTTTCGCAATGAGCTTTCTTGTTCGCTTTGGCTGGATGTCACTAACTCTGCCAATATGCATCATTTGGATATTTTTCTGCTTTAGTGTAGCTGCGCTTAAATTTTGGACAAGTGTGCTGTTCCAATTTGCGTTCTCTATAGTTTATTATTTGGCCAGCATACGCAGTGACTTTCTTACAAAGTTTGAAGAATTATAGCAGTCTTCCAATATCTAAAGCAGTGGTGGCTAACCTTTTTGGGCTCCTGTGCCAAAAATTGTGCAAGCGCACACTGGCATGCCAGCACCCAGAAGGCAATGCACGCCCCCTGCGCATGCGTGCGCAATCCCCCCGCCCCCTTACCTGCACTGCGCCTCCCACCTGATTTTTTGGCCTCCCAGATTTTGAGGAAATACAGGGAGTGACAAAACGGGCCTATTATTCGGCCTGCAGAAACCTGCAGAGGCTTTTTTCAAGCCTCTGGGAGGCCGAAAAAAGCCTCAAATAGCCAAAAATCAGCTGGGAGGTGCACGCATGCGCAGTGAGGTAAGTTTGCCTGTCGCTCGCATGCCGGCACAAGTGGGCCTACCTACATGCCACCTGTGGCACGTGTGCCATAGGTTCGCCATCATGGATCTAAGGGGTGCCACAAAGAAGAGGGGGTCAAATTATTCTCCAAAGCCCCAGAGGGCTGGACAAGAAGCAATGGTTGGAAATGAATAAAAGAGAGAAGCAACCTGGAACGAAGGAGAAACTTCTGACAGCGAGGACAATTAACCAGTGGAACGACTTGCCACCAGAAGTTCTGGATGCTCCAACACTGGAGATTTTAAAGAAGAGATTGTACAATCATTTGTCTGATATGATGTAGGATCACCTCCTCCAGCAGGGGGCTGGACTAGAAGACCTCCAAGGTCCCTTCCAAGACTGTTACTCTGCATTTCATTGGCCTAATTGACATGTTTGTTGTTTTAAACTTTTTTGCTTGTACGCCATCCAGAATCACTTGTGTCTTGTGACGGATGACATAATTGTACATGCATAGGGGAAAAAAAGGTCAACTGTCTTTTTTTAAAAAAAACAAAAGACAAACCCCTGGGTGATTTAATTAGAAATCTTTTGCACATGAAACTGGCACTGAAACGTACAGGTGACCTGACCAGCGAGGACATAACCCGAGTATGGATTTTTGCAAGCTTTACTTTCAGCCTCAAATGTTTGTCCGAGCAGAATCGACTGATGCTCCTGAATATTTTTTGCTTGCACTGTGCCCTTCTTGCAAAAAAAAAGTCAAGATTTCTTTTTTTCTTTTTTTTTGCAAAAAATATTGTTAAGATAGAGATAACTGTTAGGTAAAAGGGTCTGTATTGACGATAATATCTCTGTTGAATTTGGAAGAAGAGGGAAGGAGCGATTGGGATCCTAGCGGCAAGGTGACTTTTTCGGTAGCTGCGATAACCATGTTGGCTTGTCTTGTTTTGCTGTGTCGTTCAGTAATTGTGTCTTGTCTGTGTCCTTCAGAATGGGACTCAGCACCCCCCTAAGGGCAGCGCTCAGACTGACCATGGACGGGTAGGTCAACCCCAAATCCCCTCCTTTTTCCCACCAGACTCTAATAAACACATGTTTTGCATTTCGCATCGTCTTCATGTTATCCGCTCCAGTTTGGGAACACTCTCCCCAAAGCCTGTCATTTATTAAATTTTTTCAGTTACTTTATTTAAACCATTTATATGACCGCCCTTCTCACCACAAGTGACTGGGTGGATATCTTAACAAGACAGAAGGGCGGACATGATTAGAGAGAGATCAGACCAGGCTAATTTCCTTGAATGAAACTGACGTGGAAATGATACAAAATCCCTTTTTTCTCTTTTTTTCCCCCTCTTGATTTTTTGCTTCTCGTTTTTGGGGTACCCACCACATCCTTTCAAAAGCCCAGATCTGGCTTTTTAAGCCAACATGGAATAAATAGGATCTGACAACCTCTTTGGAGAGGGATCATGTCAAATAAAAGTAACATTTAAACTTCCTTGAGCAAAATATTTTTATTTATTTATATCCCACCTTTATTGTTTTTATAACTGAAGGCGGAAAATACACACAATATTCCTTCCTCCTGTTTGTCCCACCAGAACAACAACCCTGTGAGGTAGGTTGGGCTGAGAGAGAGAGAGAGGCAGGGTCACCCAGCTGGCTTTCGTGGCAGAGGCAGAACTAGAACTCACCACCTCCTGGTGATTGGCCCAAAGTCACCCAGCTGGGTTTCATGAGGACTAGAACTCTCCATCTCCTGGTGATTGACCCAAAGTCACCCAGCCAGCTTTCATGCCTAAAGTGGAACTAGAACTCACCACCTCCTGGTGATTGGCCCAAAGTCACCCAGCCAGCTTTCATGCCTAAAGTGGAACTAGAACTCACCACCTCCTGGTGATTGGCCCAAAGTCACCCAGCCAGCTTTCATGCCTAAAGTGGGACTAGAACATTCCATCTCCTGGTAATTGACCCAAAGTCACCCAGCTGGCTTTGTGCCTAACCACAGAACTAGAATTCACCATTTCCTAGTATCTAAACCAGCACCTTAACAGCTACACCAAGCTGTCTTTCCTATCCTGGCATTTTGTAATGACTTGGAAAAGTGATGACTCTAGAGTTGTGATATTTTTAACCTCTCTTTCGTACTAACATCTGCCTGAATTCTTGCCACTGTGTAGGTTTGGGGGCTTTATGTTTTTAAGTGTTTGCTGCTTTGGTGATGCTTGTGGGATGTTGGTGTGGTTTCTGTTTGGACACGAAAAGCCTGTTCCAGTTTCACTGTATATTTACTTTTTTAAAGAAACAAAGAGTGTTGAACTAAGTAAAGAAATCCAAGGTCAACTGATGAGGCTTTTTTGCTGGAAGAGACCCAACCAAGTAGAAGTAGAAGAAACAAAAATATTATTTTGTGCAAGGAAAAAAAAATATTTGCATGTGATTTAATGCACTGAGTGTCTCTTCTCTCATTTATCATTGTACTTCTGTGCAGTTTTTGGACTGTCCAGATGTCCAGCTTCTGGATTCCACTTCACACACACACCACTTCGTCCCGTGCATTCTTTCTAATTGCATTAACATTTTCAGCACATATTTTTCTTACTCGAGGGCTGAGTTTTGCAAAATAAATTTTAAACGTGTCCCTCCCTTTCTCCAGTCATATCTGAGATAGCTGGAGTCTATGAATCAGCAGTAAACAATGGAGAAAGGAGGAATAATTCAATCCATTTTTAGACAAAAGAATTTCCAGTGGAGGGAACTTATTTACTGTTCTGTTTTGTTTCCCCAAAGAGTGGGGAAAAAACAGGTTTTGCAAATAAATATGGAATTAATAGCAATAGCACTCAGTCTTATATACCGCTTTCCAGCCCTCTCTAAGCGGTTTACAGAGTCAGCCTCTTGCCCCCAACAATCTGGGTCCTCATTTTACCCACCTCAGAAGGACGGGAGGCTGAGTCAACCTTGAGCCTGGTGAGATTTGAACTGCCAAATTGCAGGCAGCTGCCAATCAGCAGAAGTAGGCTGCAGTACTGCACTCTTAACTACTGTGCCACCGTGGCTCTTAATGTAATTAACTTACTTTAATGTAATTGACCTCCAAAAATATAATGGAAAGATTTTTTTCAAAGTGTGATTTTCACCTTGGCTCTGTTCACACAATGTAATTTAGTGGCTTGGTTGCAAATCTCCTCGCTGGATAGGGAATTCTGGAAGTTGAAGTTCACAACTCTTAAAGCAGACGTCTCCAAACTTGGCAACTTTAAGACTTGTGGACTTCAACTTCCAGAATTCTTCAACTTCCAGAATTCTTCAACTTCCAGAATTCTGGGAGTTGAAGTCCACAAGTCTTAAAGTAGCCAAGTTTGGAGACCCCTGTCTTAAAGTCAACAGGATTGGACACCTCTGATCTACACCACATGGTCAGTTCAAACAGGCCAAAGGATGACCAGAAGGTCTCTAGACTTATGTTTTTTCCTGGACCAGAAGGTCTTTAGGTCCAAATGTGATCGAAATCTTGACCGGGTTTACGTGTTGCATTAAATCAACCTTACCCCTTATCACTCAAGCACAAGCCCAGCCGGTTTGATTGATTAAACCAGGGTTTGTGGATTAGCATAATGCCAGGTAGTCCACAACTTACGATGCCAATTGAGCCCAATATTGACGTTACTAAAGTGAGAAATTCGTTAAGTGGCTTTCGCCCCATTTTTTTACAACTTTTCTTGCCCCTGTTGTTAAAGGGAAGCGCTGCAGTGGTTAAATTACTCCCCTGGTCATTGTGAATCTGTTTTTACCCATTGAGTTTGCTTGTCAGAAGGTCACGAAAGGGATTCCCAGGACACTGCAATTGTCCTAAATGTGAATCAAGCCTCAATAAAATAATGGGGATGCTGCCACGGTCATAAATGTGGGAAAAAAAGGTCATACATTATTTTTCTTCAGTGCCATTGTAACTTTGAACACTCGCTAAGTGAACTGTAAGTTAAGGACTACCTGTATCTGAACCATGGAAACTTAACCAACAGAATCAGGACTGTGAATCTAATCCGAGGGGGAATTTCTGCAGAGTACAGATTGCCTGAAAGCACTTTATATAAATAACTCACCTAATAGTTTTGACCTTTGCAGGAAGCATGGAAGAATGCAATTGAGAAAGCTAAGCACATGCCTGACCCCTGGGCGGAATTTCACCTGGAAGAGATCAAAATGGAAAACGCCACCCGCTACAGGTCGGTCGATATTTCCTGCATGCCAGAGATTTGAGGCTGAAGAATTTCTACTTTTGCTCCCCTGGTGCATTAAAAAAAAATTAGTTTATTAAAATCAACAGTCCCTTGGCTATTTCTCTTCTCCCACTTTTTAAGGTTGTGATATTGTTGGAACGGAGAAAGGGATCAGGAGACGTAACCGCCACAAGGAAGATATCAGATACCAAAATCAAATTAGCAAAACGGGTTATCATATCATTCCCTATTACTTAATCAGGTGCCTGGATTGGAGTTAATCCTATTATTATCCAGAAGCAGAGAACGTCTCTCAGTGCTTATCTCCTGAACTCTTAATCATTCATGCTTGCATCGTTTTGTGTGTAAGTGGGTGGGTGTTGTGTAGGTATATCTAGGTATATGGTCATCTTTTGAGAGCTGAGTGGAACGAAATTTCATTTTAATGTATGCTGATTAGTGTACATTTAAAGGGACAATAACATTTCTATTCTTCTATTCTACCATTTTATTATTCTATTTTATTCTATATTCTATTGTCTATTCTATCTTCTGTTCTATTCAATGACTGTAACCTTGTTGCTTGTATCCTAATGATTTTTATTGACTGTTTCCTAGTATGATTTGATTGCTGTACCCTATGACTATTATTAAGTGTTGTACCTTATGATTCTTGACTCTCGACGAATGTATCTTTTCTTTTATAACACTGAGAGCATTTGCACCAAAGACAAATTCCTTGGGTGTCCAATCACACTTGGCCAATAAAGAATTCTTCTTTCTTTCTTTCTTTCTTTCTTTCTTTCTTTCTTTCTTTCTTTCTCTATCTATCTATCTATCTATCTATCTATCTATCTATCTATCTATCTCTGTGTGTGTGTGTATATTTTATACACACACACACACACACACACATACCCCCTCTCTTTTTATCTATCTATCTATCTACCTATCTATTTATTTATCTATCTATCTAATGTACCTATTGTGCATTCTGTTCTGCATTCTATTGTTCTATATTCTATTTCAGTCCATTCCATTCCAGTTAAACCTAGTTTACTCCAGTTTAGTCTAGTAATGACAAACATCTAAGTTGTGATGTTTAAAATCTGGGTGCACAGGGAGTGGGTGGGGTGTCAAAAGAGACTGAAAATTGGCCACCCTCCAAAAATGGTTCAACTACATATCCCAGTAGCTAGAGCCAAACATAAGGCACCAAAAGGGAATTCTAGCCTAGCCTTGTTGCATCCAAGCTGAGCTTCACGCCTAGCTGTAAAGGTTACTCTGAGCTGTATAAAAAGGTTAAACTTGTTTCTCAGTAATTGGGTAATTTTATAAAAAAAATAAAGCAGAAATATGGAACATTTTTTTATATGTGGTGGCAGTGCCCCAAAGCCAGAAAATAATAGATGAAAGTACAAAAATGGCTACAGGAGATAACAGAACATCAAATAGAATTTAAACCTGAACTATTCCTATTGGGAATAGTTAAAGGGAAATTTTGTAAACAAATCCAATACATCATATTGCATATAATAACAGCAGCGGGGATAGTTTTTGCACAGAGTTGGAAATTAGAAAACATACCATCCGAAGAGGTTTTTAATACGAAAAATATTAGAATGTACTGAGATGGAGAAACAATAGAACTAACAAGCAAGGAGGAATCAGAATACTATGCGGTTTGGGATAAATGGTATAAGTGGATAGAACATAGGAATAAGGATTAATATATAGAAATAAATATAAATATATGTAATATCTATGCACAATACAGTTAAAATGTAAATAGAGATGTGTAATTTGGAAAATAATTTAAAAAAATAATAAAGCTTTATGAAACTTTTAGGTTTTGGCCAAACCGCTGCGCCCCATAGCAAACCATTGGTTTGGTTAAAGATCGCTGTGTTTGCTTAATGCTACCCCAAAATTTACAGTAAAATTGGGTCAGTCACATGACCAATCTGTTTTGCAACATCACAATATACAGCTGCAATGGGCTGGCTTTACTATAATCCTATGTGAAAAACTATCTGTATTCAATTTCTGAAAAGCTAAAAAAAGATCCAGTAGCACGATGGATTTTTAGACCCGATTCTCGTCTCGTTTAGAATTTTCTTAGAATTTTTTCTCCCTATTCCTAAATCCGTTTTTCTTTTGTCTCCCAAATCGTGAAGATAAGCCAGCAAGTTGCTCTTTGGAAGTATTCAAATAAGGGAAAAAAATGTTTGAAAAGATTTTTTTCTTCCAAGCTATTATTAGTTTTGGCCTCTGCGCTCCTCTCAAAATAGGACTTTATATTATCTCCCTCTTGGGTGCAACCACGTTCAGCAAAGCCAGAACGCGAGCTTTATCCCCATCCCAACCTGAAAAAAAATATCCAAAGGAGCAAAGGGAAGCGTGGAGAATGTGCATACGCCAGGCTAACCTTTGACTGCAGCAAAATCCCTGGTGTAAACAGACACGTTTTTCTCGTGTTCCTCGCTTTCCAGAAGGGAAGCATTTATTTAAGGCTTCCCTAGTCGTTTCTCATTTATTGCTTTACAAGATCTGGGGTTGATGTAGCTGTGATTTTATTTTTTTTCCCCCTAGGTTCTTTTTCACCTTATTAAAAAAAAAAAAAATTACAGTTGCCAAGTTTGAAAAAAACACTGATTTGTAATGTGATATGTGGCGTGAACCCAGCTAATTGGATTAGTTTCTTATTTAATCCTCTTAATTTTACACTAACAGTTTCATGTTATCTTTTTTTTAAAACCTTTTTATCATATTCTAAGCCACCCAGAGTTGCTGTTGACAGTGAAATAGAGGGTTTATAAATTTAATAAATCAGTCAACTAATTCAGATGGGATCAGCAAGCAGCGGTTAAGCAGAGCCAAGCCTAAAACATTGGTCTGAACCTTGACATTGTATTTTTCCCCCTCTTTGCTATTAACTATGTGCAGGCTGGGAAATCGAACAGTATTTGTGTAAACACAGATATTCTGTTGTGAAGAGTGTAATGGTATGGAATCCTACAAGGCTTAGATTTTTTTTTCCAGGCTGTTTTTCCCTATAAAACCATCGTTTTGCTGTCAGAAGTTGGTTGGGTAAGCTGGATGGGCTGACAGGAGTTATAGTTTATCTTTACAGGGTGCTTTGGGTGGGAGAAAGCTGCACTGACGCAGTGTGGATTCACACACCGTCTCAAATTATTTATTCATTTAACTGACAGAATCATCCATCTGGCAGATGCAACTCTAGGTGGTTAACAACCTGTGGAAACAATAAGAAACAAGAATTTAGGACCGTGCAGTGCAATATAATATATTCCTCTCTTTTTGCATTTTAATAAGGCGGTCCTTTTAAATTTCCTTTCCTTTGAAACTGGGCAGGTACAATGCCGTTACTGGAAAATGGGTCGAAGACGAAGTCTTGATCAAAATGGCTGCGCAGGTAAGAAGTGCAGACTTCTTTTTTGGCTCTGGTTGTTAAGCGAATCACCATGGTCATTAAATGAATCGTGTGGTCATTAAGCAAATCCGGCTTCCGCCATTGACTTTGCTTACCCAAAGCTATCAGATTGAGATAGTATGACTCCAGGACTCTGCAACCATCATAAATAGATGCCCGTTGCCCAAATTTTGGTCATGTGACCATGGGGATGCAGTGACGGTCGTTAGAGCGAGGATGGTCAAGAGTCATTTTTTTCAGTAGCATTGTAATTCTGAATGGTCATAAGTGAATGGCTTGTAAATTGAGGACTACTTGTAATAACCTCTGATTTGTTTTTTTAGCCTTTTGGCCGAGGAGCGATGCGTGAATGCTTCCGGACGTAAGTATGCAGTTGTTTCTAGACCTCTGTGATTTGAAAAAAAGAAAGAAAAGCTCCATTTTCTTGTTTTAATTCACCTCAGTTTATTCTTGAGGTTTCAATCAAGATAGGAAACCTGGTGCCAAGGAAAGAATGAAGGGCGGAGCGAAAGCTTTTCACTCATTGCAAAATAAACGGAAAATCCCACCCTCTCTACTCTTTGTGAAATTAGGCAATTCCTGGAGATGAAACAAATGGTAGTGGATATTCTATTTATACTAGAATCTTTTTTTATAATTTTTTTTATTTTACAACAACAAACAAACATAAAACTACATAAAACCTCCTTTCAATTTATACAGTGTGTCTCTTGATGTATATTTCTTGTGCATAATATCTGTAATCATTCCCTCTTAATTTTAAATATACTATAATCTTTTCATATAGAGACTAATTTCCAGCACTTGTACATTAATTCACTAACCCGGGGAATTAAAGCATTGGTTTAAAAAAAAAAAGATGTATATAAGAAGATGTTGAGACTCTAGAAAGAGTGCAGAGAAGAGCAACAAAAGATTTTAAGGGACTGGAGGATAAAACACATGAACGGTTGCAGGAACTGAGTATGTCTAGTTTAATGAAAAGAAGGACTAGGGGAGACGTGATAGCAGTGTTCCAGTATCTCAGGGGCTGCCCCAAAGAAGAGGGAGTCAAGCTAGTCTCCAAAGCCCCTGAGGGCAGGACAAGAAGCAAGAGAGAAGCAATTTAGAACTAAGGAGAAATTTCTTGATAGTCAGAACAATTAATCAGTGGAACAGCTGGCCTCTAGAAGTTGTGAATGCTCCAACACTGGAAGTTTTTAAAAAGATGTTGGATAATCATTTGCCTGGACTGGTTTAGGGTTTCCTGCTTGACTATAAGATCTCTAAAATCCCTTCCAGCTCTCTTACTCTTGTTACTCTGTTTGATGATTGCACAGTTCAGGATGAGAGTAACTGAGATTGTGGCAAGCTGCTTTTGACAGTAACAAATCTGACTTTGCTCACCCTTGTTCAGGACGTCGAGCAGAAAGCTTTTCAGGGTATGCCAGGAATCCCACTGGATTTCTCCTGCGTGCCAGGAAACCAACACTTTTCCCTTAAAGTGGACCTGGATTGTCCATAGATGAAGGAAGGAAGAAAACGGTCGGGGATGATCCTTAAAATTTACAAAGGACTCTTCAAACATCTGCTATTTCCATAGCATCCTAGCTTCACTGGACATTTGTTTCTCTCTCTCTTTTTTTTTTTTAAGGAAAAAGCTGTCCAATTTTCTGCACATGCAGAATTGGAAAGGGGCCTTTAATTACGTGGCAAAGCGGTACATCGAGACGGTCGACCGGGAAGTCTATTTTGAGGATGTGCGGCTGCAGATGGAAGCCAAGTTATGGGGAGAAGAATATAACCGCCATAAACCTCCCAAGCAGGTATGTTGCATTCACAGAGGGATACAATCAAGATCAAGGGAGGTACTAATACCACTCTGCAAAGCCTTAGTAAGACCACACCTCGAGTACTGCATCCAGGCTTGGTCACCACACTATAGAAAAGATGTTGAGACTCTAGAAAAGAGTGCAGAGAAGAGCAACCAGGATAATGAGGGGATTGGAGGCTAAAACACATGAAGAACGATTGCAGGAACGGGGAATGGCTAGTCTAGTGAAGAGAAGGACCAGGGGAGACAGGATAGCAGTGTTCCAATATTTGGGGGGCTGTCACAGAGAGGAGGAGGGGGTCAAGCTATTCTCCAAAGCACCTGAAGGCAGAACAAGAAGCAACGGATGAATAATCAAGGAGAGAAGCAACCTAGAACTAAGGAGAAATAGTGGCAGGAATTTGGTATGTCTAGTCTAAGAAAGAGAAGGACCAGGGGGTGACATGATAGCAGTCTTCCAATATTTGAGGGGCTGCCACAAAGGAGGGAGTCAAGCTATTTTCCAAGACACCCCAAAGGCCAGACAAGGAATAATGGATGGAAACTGAACAAGGAGAGATTCAACCTAGAAATAAGGAAAAATTTTCTGACAGTGAGAACAATCAACCCATGGAACTGAAGTTGCCGTAGGGAAGTTGTGGGAGCTTCATCCCTGGAGGCTTTCGAGAAGAGATTGGACTGCCCTCTGTCAGAAATGGTGTAGGGTCTCCTGCTTGGGCTGGGGGGTTGGGCTAGATGACCTACAAGGTCCCTTCCAACTCTGTTAAAGAATCTTGGAGAGAACTAGTGAAGGCCAGAAGGTTCAAAATCGTGCGCGTTTCCCCCTTCCCCCCACTTCTCTGTCAGTTATTTCTCTTCCCTCTTTCTTTTCCTTAGGTAGATATTGTCCAGACCTGCATAATTGAAATGAAGAATAGACCGGGGCGACCTCTTTACCACCTGGAACATTACATCGAGGGGAAGTACATCAAGTACAATTCGAACTCGGGATTCGTACGAGACGACAACATCCGTCTGACCCCGCAGGTAGGACTTCCTTTCCTAGCCATTCAGCAGGTGATGGGTGACCTTAAAGAGCCTAATTGGTAAGGTTAAGGTTCCCATTGGCCTGATGCAACACCTGTTCTCTTTGCAGGCCTTCAGCCATTTCACCTTTGAACGCTCCGGACACCAGCTGATCATCGTGGACATCCAAGGGGTTGGAGACCTGTACACAGATCCTCAGATCCATACTGAGAGCGGCACGGATTTTGGAGATGGGAATCTCGGTAAAAAAACAACAACAGAGCGATTGTTTGTCCTTGGGGGCGACTTAACTTCTGCAGGGGTTGGGGAAAGTTGCTTGATTGGAAAAGGGGACCAGCTTCAGCTCTGGGAGACGTCTTGATCTGACCAAGGCTTCTCGAAATCGTAATTAAGCACGCGCTTAGTTAAAACAACTCTTGTTTTATTTCTACGCTGGGAATTATGTGCATTCCCAGCCAGAAATGAGTCCAAACAGTCCCTCGAGATAAGCACCCACTTTTCTCTCCTTTGAATGGCTGCCAACAACTAGAGTGCCAAATGAACTATAAAAAACCAGCCGAAGTACAAAGTCCACACAGAGCTTCAAGGATCAATCCGAACAGAACAAACGACTTTGCTTCCTGCGAAGATTTCATCACCTTGGCCTGTCCTTTATACCTTAGGGGAGGAGCAATCATCTCCAAGCCTTACACCCGAGTTGCCCCTTTTGTCTCAGTGCTCTTGCCTTCTGGCAGCTCTGCACATATGCGCACTGGGAACAGGCTCCCCTTGTTCCTCTGCCTCACTGCTGCCAGACTCTGGAGGCTCCGGAGTCAGCACCCCATTCCCAGATGGTCCTGGCCCCATCTGGACACAGGACCCTCATCCGAGTCCTCCCCAGACTCCCGGACTGGTCCCCGTTCTTCCCCGCTATCCGATTCCGCTGCCCTCTTCACAAACCACAACAACATCCATCCTTGGAAGGAACAATCTTTAAATGTGGGTCCAGGTGCTGATGAGAATTAGTGACATCAAGAGGCCCTCAATTTATCACAGTTTATTTAGTGATGGTTCGAAGTTACAATGGCACTGAAAAGAGTGACGTACGGTTGTTTTCCACCCTTGCAACCATTGCAGCATCTCCAGGGTCACCTGACGAAAATTCAGACACTCGGCAACTCATACTTATGACGGTCACATGATCCCCTTTTGCAACCTTCTGGCAAGCAAAGTCGTTGGGGAAGCCACATTCACCTAACAACCGTATTATTAACTTAACAGTCCGAGTGATTCACTTAACTGTGGCGAGAAAGCTCGTAAAATGGGGCAAAACTCAAGAAATGTCTCACTTAGCAACGGAAGTTTGGGGCTCAATTGTGGTCAGAAGTGGAGGACTGCCTGCATTGCGATGCTGTTGGGGAGTCCTTGGTCCATCTTAAGTTTAGTTGTTGGCTCGTTACCTGTTTCATTGTCTGTCTACGTAACATCAGTGCAAGCGGGTGTGAGGTGTGCTCCTTGTTTATAGTAGCCTGCTCTACTAATGTTGGTTGGGGTGTGTGGTTTTCTCCTTGAATGGGGTATTGTTTTCTGTTTGATTGTTTGTCTGGTGTTCATCCTTGCTTATTCTAGTATATTGGTTGCTGGAGAAGGTGTTTTCTAGTCTTTTTGTTCTCATTGGCTCCTTTAAATGATGTGTACATGTGGTTAATCTCTATGTGTCTGTTGATGGCTGGTTTGTCTGAATGGATCTTGACTTTGAGAAAAAATCGCTAGGCTTCTATGTAAGGCTTTGCACCTCGAAACAATTTCTCATTCTTTCTATGGATGGTTCTCTACCTGTCCCAGGTGTGCGGGGGATGGCCTTGTTCTTCCATTCTCACTCCTGCAACCCGATTTGTCAAAGTATGGGGCTGATGCCTTTTGATCTCTCCTCCAAAGAGAAGGACGCCTTGTTTCGTAGTAGCAAACTACTTGTAAGTATTGGCGGCAAAGGAGCTTCGAATCCCAGGAACTGCTGGGGGCCATTTTGTGAAGGCGGTTTGGTTCACGAACGCCTCAAAATGGTTGCATTGTTCCGAGCTGAAGTTTGGCTCACATTATAAGTGACCTGATTTAATAAATTGCATTTAATAAATTGATTTAATAAATTGCACTAAATTAAATTTTGCACCATTTGAACCGGCAAGCAAGCCTGCTGCTGTTTCAGCAGAGACCCGTTTGCTGAGGCAAGTTCCTAGCTGAGGTAAGTTCCTGGCTGAGGTTTTGTGTTTCTCTGTCCAGGAATTGGCTCAGACTGTTGTGCGGGGCACGGAAGAGAAGTGTGGCAGTAGCCGGGCGCGAACCGTCTCCGGCAGCCGCCCCCCTCTCCTTTCCCGTCTTTCTGAAAACTCAGGGGACGAAAGCATGAGCGACATGGCGTTCGACTCCTTGCCCTCCTCACCGTCTTCAGCCACGCCTCACAGCCAAAAGATGGAGGGTCTTCGTAAGTGCCCAGATGGATTTTTTTTTTTCATCCGTTATTGTGGGGTGGGATTCAAGTTTTTTAACAACCGGTTCTGTGGGCGTGGCTTAGTTGCTGGGTGTGGCTTTGTGGTCATGTGACTGGCCGGGCATGGCCAACTCTATCACTCACATTGAGGCACGCATCTCCTCACCTGGCCTCTCATGACTGTGGGGAAGCTGCAACAGTCGTAAGTGTGAAAAATGGTCATAAGTCACTTTTTTCAGTGCCATTGTAACTTTGAATGGTCACTCCACACAAGCAAAGTACCAGCAAAGGAGGAAAAAAAACTCCAGAGAAGTTCCAGAGACAGGAAGTCTAGTCCTGCCAAGAATGTAATAATGGTTAACGGAGAGGCAGTTTCTGTAAGCAACACCAGAATGTTTCCTTCCTGCCTTCCTTACAGGATTAGCCCAGTAATTTCTTCTAACAACCGGTTCTCCGAACTGCTTAGAATGTTAACAGCTTCTAGCAAATAGGTGCGAACCTGTAGAATCCCAACCCCTGGGTGGGGCTGCTGGTTCTAGAAGCAACCTGGAATTAAGGAGAAACTTCATAACAGTGAGGACAATTAACCGGTGGAACAGCTTGCCACCAGAAGTTGTGTTATTCCACCACTGGAGGCTTTTAAGAAGAGACTATAGACAGTCACTTATAGGCCAGGGATAGCAAACCTATGCCGGAAGTGGCACGCAGAGCCATTACTGCTAGTGGATGAGCCCTTGCCCAGAGCAAGTCTACTGTGCATATGCGCACCACCCGCCCAGCAGCTGATCGGGTATCTGGCGCCCACGTGTGGAAGGGGCAAGGGTGTGCGGGAAATCACCAGCAGTTTTTCATTCAGTTGTTTCCTGAGAAGTCTCAGGTAGTATAATTTACTGACAGTTTGACGTTACGACAGGGCTAAAAAAAAGTGACTTAACGACTGTTCCATGACATCTGTGAGGGTTCCATGAATTATCTATTCCAATCAACGACTCCGAGACAGACATTATCCCAAAGTAATTTATTACAACAGGAACATGGCACCCACAAGACTCAACCTACTTCCACCCTTTTCTCTCCGTCATAAATCACATGTACTAATCAACCTTGTGCTATAATTCTTGCTATTGCCATAGAGAATGACCTTGGCATTTTCCCCTTTATTTTGTCTATTGCAACAACAATAGTTAGCTTCCATCCTCCACCGCTGTGTGGCAGCTTTTAATAAGGATTCCAAAGCTGACAATATCCTGGTTTAAAAGAGCGAAATCCTTGTTTGTTTTGACCTAGATTGGCCTGTCTTCAATGAAGTCGACAACTTGGTTCACAAAGACCACGAAGGCCTTGATAATCAGCGGGTACGTTCCTGAAGACCTACCTGGATTCATACGTTACGCTCGGCGCTAAAGAGATTGGGTTGGGTTTAGACTGCGTACATCCAGGCTCTGGTGCTTACAAGACAAGGTTTTTGTCAACCACACAACTGTAATTTGCTCATTCAGTGGTGGTTGAAACAAGTCATGGTTTAGGGCCCTGGAGGAAGCAACCATTGGGTTGATGAAAAAACAACAAGTGGTATTAACTTTATTTTTTTAACCTTCTAAGATGCTCTAGCTTTGCAAAGGGTCTCCAAAACTGGCAAGACCTGTGGATTTCAACTTCCAGAATTCCTGTCAGCCATGTTTATAGTAGAAATTAACCAGTTGTTAGAACTTAACCGTGCTTAACCAGTTGAAGTCCACAAGTCTTAAATATGTCAAATTTGGAGACCTCTACTGTAGTGTGATGTCAAGACAGACCTTTCTCTCCACTGGTGATGTTCAGATATTTCTCTCCTCTTGAGTTTCCATTACTCAGTGAGTGGAGAATAAGTTCCATCATCTCCAGATGGACCAGAACTATAGGCTGCTTTGATTGTCCTTCCCAACAGAAGAAGACAAAAAGTTTCTGCATCCTTCAGATATTCCTGGGCAAAATCTCCCATCATAATCTAGAAGGGCAGAGCTGAGTCCCCCTCTCTGTTTTAAATCTTGCTTCTGTCAGGATTCCAGCGATCGCCCTAATGAAATCATGAGCCTTGAGCCAAACTTCAAAGAAATCATTAGGAGCGACAGGCTGGCATGACCTGTATGAAGCTGATTCTGGCATACCTAATTGCAGTCACCTGTGACCTTGCTCCTCCCCTCTCCCCTGGGTGTGCCATAAATCAGTTTTTCCAATTAAGCACACAGGCTAGGTGTCATCCATCACATTCTCCAATTAAAGTTTTTCCCGGGCAAAAACTTCAATAGTTTAGCTACAATCTTTTTTTAAGAAAAAGTTGGAATGTGCTTCTAAATTCATTTGCCCTATCTTCTCCAGCCTCTTCTCCCCACTTTCTTATGGCAACTTGGAAACAAGTGTAGGGATGTTTTACAAGTTCCTAATTTGGGTTGGAGGACCTCAAACCACAAGGATTTATAATACCGTTCTCAGCCGGATAGGACTCTTTCAAGAAGGATGAAATTCCATCTATAAATAAGGATAAGAATTCTTATTTTTCTCCTCTGTTTTTTATCCTTAGGATTCTGAAAATGGAGGGGACAGTGGGTGCCCCAGTGAGAAAAGGAGTGATCACGAAGACATGGATCACCGGGAAAAGGTGGTTTTTTTCCTTTCAATTTCATACCCTGATCCTTGATATATTTTGAAACACATGATGCAATTTGCAATTGGATGGACCTCCTGACTTGACTTCTCAGCAGAAGATAATTCTGGGAGTTGAAGTCCACAAGTCTTAAAATGGCCAAGTTTGAGGACCCCTGTTTAAAATACTTAACTTACCTATTTTTTAATTTAGTCTCTCCCTGGGCCAACTCCTCCCCTCCCCCCCTTGGAAATGAAGCTTTTAGAAATGCTTTTCATCCAAACCTGAATTAAATTGTTCTTTTTTTGTTCCCTTTCGACTCAGGGCCATCCTAACTGCAACCGGAGACACGAATCTGATGAAGACAGCTTGGGAAGTTCTGCTCGGGTAAATAAATCTGATTTTCCCCCCAACTGGGTTTGCTTTGCACCAGATGACCTGCTCACCAAAGCTGCTTATTTTTCCCTGATTTGCTGAAGAATTCTTTCTCCGTGGTTTACGCCTCTTTCTTCTCCCTTCTTTGTTTAATTCTTTCTCTTTCCAAATTAGAGAAATAGAGAGACCGCTAAACCGAGTTTCAGGAACCAAAGGGTGATTTTCTGCATGGATTTTATTCTATCTCTGGGTTGTTTTGGCTTGTTCTTCTCTTCGCCTGTTTTGGGCTCTTGGCAAACAACTCCAGAACGTGTGCTCCAGCATTGTGCGTTTTACATGTTTTTAAAGTTGTAGCCCAGAGTGGCCATATTAGCTCCTTTGAGAACGCCTTACCACACAGAGGTGGTCTTCAGCCAGTTCTGACCAATTCTGGAGAGCCAGTAGCGGAAATTTTGAGTAGTTCGGAGAACCGGCAAATGCCGCCTCTGACTGGCCCCGCCAACCCCATCTCTTCTCTGCCTCCCATTGAGTCCCAGCTGATCGGCTGGGTCTCCTTTTGTTGCCCTGCACAGGAGAAC